AGCCACAAATGAGATCTTCTTTTCTTCAGCTGAGACCCAGGAGAATTTTCTGGATTAAAAATTATCCAATGTTACTCATTGCTGATGGCTCACACCTGTAATCCTTACTACTCAGGAGGCCGAGATCTGAGGATCACGGTTTGAGTCTAGCCCAGGCAGGAAAGTCCTTGAGACTCATATCTTGACTTCAAAACAGCTGGAAGTGGCACTGTGGCTCAAGTGGTAGAGTGCTAGTCTTGAGCGCGAAGAGGCTCAGGGACAGTGCCCAGGCCCTGAGTTCAAGCCCCAAGACCAGCAAAAAAATAATTTCTCCAGTGAGTCTCTATCAGTTGAAGTCAGTGTTTTGTTTTGATTCTCAGGTCAGCAAGATCACCTTTAGGCTGGCTCTTGAATCCACTGATGATGTTTTATTTTGAAACAGGGTCTCTCTGCAGCCCAGACTGGCTTTGCTCTCAAAATCCTGCCTCAGCCTACTCAGCATCCACTCACGGCCTGTTGGCAACTTCCTTATTTGGGAGCCTGATAAATGTTGCAGGTTCATCTTGCTCTAGACCTAAAAAGGGAGCCATTTCTCCAATGAGCCTCCTGGTTCTTTTTACTGGGGACCATATGTGAAGAGCACAGGCTGTCCTTGCCAAGTGGGAGAGCTGAGATTCACAGCCAGTATCAAATCTGGCACTCAGTCTTTGTGCCTTCTGATTAACCACATTTATTAGGAAGAATAGTATTCATAATGATAGCTATTACTCCTGATGCCAAAGGCAGCCGCTCGCGCCGTGTCAAGTGCTCTCTTAGGCAACTTCCAGCACTTGGAAAAGATGGAATCCTTGTACCAGCCCTCAGAGACAGGCATGATCATACCAGTTTTACAAAATAAGAAAACAAGACCTAGAGACTGAGCGTCCTACCCAAGACACTTACCAAGAGTCCATGGTAAATGGTGGGGGTTGAAATTCTGGTCTGCACAGCTCTACACTGTGTTCTCTGAGTTACCACAGGGTGAATGATTGGCAAGTTTTGTCCTCTTTCAGCTTCCTTACTCCACTCCCGGGGCTCCAGAGCTCCAGGTTCAAGTACCTGCCTGGTGTTTTTCTTGGTGGCTCACTCAATGAGCGTTTTGATGAGTGGCTACCAAATTCTCACCAGCGTTGAACCAAAAAACTGGTGCTTGTGCAACACCGTGATAGATGGCTGGGAGATTGTCTAGCTCAGGGCTTGGCTGACAGGCTTCCATTTGTCTAGGTTCCTCTGGGCACACAGTAGGTTCTCAAGAAACCTGCGTTGAAAGGATCTATAGGAAGGGCTTGGCGGCCTCTCAACATGACCTGGGAAGAAGGCAAGCCGCTGAGCATCTCTGGTGGCCACAGGCCCGGGACTCTTAGTGAATAAATTAGGACTTGCTGGCCTAAGTCTGGGACTCTGTCACCTCAGGGAGAGAGGGAGAACAGGCAGGGCACTGGCTGGAATTTATCCCTGTCCTCCACCCTCTATTACATTGTTATCATTTAGTGCTTTCTTTCGCATCATTTGATATTTCTGACATTCTTATTTACTCATGTTTTTTTTCCCCATGCACCTGTTTCTCTCCTGGCTCTACTCTCTTTCCCCATGTTAGCTTCTTGAGAGCAGAAGCCATGTCTAATATATCTACTGCTGTGGTCCAAGCAACTGGCCCAGGTGGGCAGGGGCTGTGGGTACATTTGTTAAAATGACGGAGGGATGGGTGTGGTAGGGCTATAGTCCCAGAAGCTCAAAGCCAGCACGGCCTATGTAGGGAGACTTTGTCTCACAAAATGACAGATTTGGGTTAGGTTAGTGTAGCCTTCTTGCCTATTATTCATAAGGCACTGAGTTCAATTTCCAGTATGGAAAAAGGGAAAGAAAAAGAAAAGGAAAAAAAAAGAAGACAGGGCAAGAAAGAAGGAGGATAAGGCCTTGAGCTCTTTACCACTCTCCTCTCACATGAAGACCTGGGAGAAACTGGGTAGAGGGAGGGAGAGCAGAGGGCAGATGCGAAGAGGCCCTTGGCAGAAGCTCCGGGCTTCAGAGGCCCCAGGGTGGGCACAGGTCAGGCGCACACTCAGCCGGGAGGATGTTTCCCTCCTAAGAGTTGTTAGCATTGGCAAATAAAAATCAGGATGTCCAGTTTAAAAATTAAAAAACCTTTGAATTTCAGATAAACAAGGAACAATTCTTCAGTATAATCATGTCCAATGCAATATTGAAGACACACTATACTTAACATTTAGTAAAATGCCTATTCAAATTTCCTGGGCAGAATTCTCGCTTGGTGCTAAGTGTTGTGGGAGAGTCCACTGAGCACTTAGCCTGTCTTTTAAAAAAATATGGAACATTTTGTTTTTACTTCTGAATAGAGAAGGTACAATCTCGTTATTCATCTAACAGAAGCACAGAGTCCCTGGGAACAGCAGCTTGTTAGAGGAGAATGGCTCTTGAGGGTGGATAGATGTGGTAAGAGTAAGACAAGTGTCCTGAGCTCACAGCGGGCTTTTAGAATCTTCTGGTGCTTAAGTTTTCCTTCCCAGGCCCACAGTGGGACTGGAGCAGTGTCTAGCTCTTGAGGTGCCAGAAGGAAGACCACAGGAAGAAAAGTACCCAGCCTGGAGGAAAAGCTCTGCAGGAATGTGGGATTACTTGGTAATTCATCTGTTCATCCAGGCTTGCTAAGCAGTTGGTGAGAAAGGACTCAGAGGAATGGCATGGTGCTTTTCTGGAGGCTTTCCATAGACGGGGAGGTGAATGGAGAATCCAAGACCAGCAAGGGATGCTGGCTTCCAAATCTGTCTTTGTGGTTGAATGAAAAATACATTTCTTTCTTCCAACTCTTTTCTTCCTTCTCCACTCTTACTCCTTTCCCATATTGACTCTCATTCCTTATCACCTTCCCAGCTATTTGTCACCTTGAAGCTAATTACATCATATCAAACAACCCCAAGAAGGAATGACTCCTGGCCTAACCACATGGACTGAGACCCTTAGATTCATGCTTTTTCCTAGCATCCTACTCTCCTGCATCCATACTATCCAATAGTATCCTACTTTGCTTGGAGCTCATTTGCATGAATGTCTTTGATTGGTTGGCACAAAGGCCACTGAGCCCTTCCCTACTCATCTTCCTGTTGTAGGCACACTGTCAGGCATCTTGGGATTCTCAGACCCTGCTCCACCCTGTGTGCCTTTGTCGGCATCTCTTGTGGTTTGCGGTTAAAAGACCCAGGATCAGGCCTGAATATTGCCACTGACAAAACTACATCCTCTTGGATAACTTCTGCCTCTCTGTGAAGCAGTTCTTATATTTATAAATGGGAATAATTTTCATCGTGAGGTCTTTATAAGAATATTCTGCAATGGTTAATATGGACTATGAGCCCAGACTACCTGAGTTCAAATCTTTCTTCACCTACCTGCCAGGTACCCTGGACCAATTCCCCCTTTCTCCTTGGTTGAGTCTGAATAGGAGGTAAAAAAATAAAAAGGCATGTAGCAGTTACAATAGTGCATTGAATGCTAGTGCCTATAAATGTTCACTGCTGTTGTAATGGATACTAAAGTCTGTTGTCCAAATGCTGTTATTATAATTTGCCATTGTCAAAAAGAGTGTTTGGAAAAGTCAGTCACTTAGAGCTCTGGTTCAGAAGCTAGAGTTTTGTTATAAAGAACATTCATAGAAGTGGCACTGTGGTTCAAATGGTAGAGTGCTAGCCTTGAGCAAAAGAGCTCAGGGACAGAGCCCAGGCCCCGAGTTCAAGTCCCATGACCACCACCAAGGACAACAACAACAAAACACTCAAAAGTGTGAAGACTGGACTCCTCCACATCTGTAAAGTGGTAAGGACATCCTCTGCCCACTTCCCAGGAAAGCTCCTGTGCCTTGGCCTTGCTCACTGTAAGCATTAAAAACAACAACCCACCCAAACAAAACAAAACTGTTGAGCAGCCGGGCGCTGGTGGCTCAAGCCTGTAATCCTAGCTACTCAGGAGGCTGAGATCTGAGGATCGGGGTTCAAAGCCAGCCTGGACAGGAAAGACTGTGAAACTCCTATCTCCAATAAACCACCAGAAAACCGGAAGTGGTGCTGTGGCTCAAGTGGTAGAGCGCTCGCCTTGAGCTGAAGAGCACAGGGACAGCGCCCAGGCCCAGAGTTCAAGCCCCATGACCGACAAAAAAAAAAAACAACAACTGTTGAGCAAATGATGAATGAGCCACAAACGTATTCATGGCAAGCTGTAGGATTCTGCCCTGGGCCACATCTGTGCTCATTTGAGGCCCAGACGGCAGTGGATAAATGCTGGGTAGAGCATCAGGTAGGTCTGTGCTGCCCAGCGCTCCCCAGTAGAACAATAATAGAGTTCCTCCCTCTCGCTTTTTGAAGGCACCAATGGTTGCTTCAATCACCCAGTGCCAGCTAACAGTTTTGAGAGAGCACATATAACTGACAAGCACTTCCATGTACGGCAACTTGGTCCCCAAATACCCTGGCTCAAGAATGCTTAGACTTATTATTGAGATGTGTTCGCTGCAGCTCTTGGCTGTAAACAAGCTCAGTGTCCCACCACGTGTGACTCAAGGAAACTCTAGTCACGTTGTTGGGCCTGTAGCTTACCACACCAGACACCGACAATGGTTATGGTCTGATACAACTCTCGCCTAACTAGCTGTGAGCACCAAAGGGATGCTGAGTGCAAGGCCCAGGATCGGCACCAAAACCAAAGCCTCCCGCCTAGTTCAGATCATTTCAGAGATGGCGCAGAGCGTCCTGGAGGAGGGACAGGTTGACCCCTTGAAATAAGGAACAAGGTTTGGACTGGTTTTGATTCCCGAAGCTCATTCTTTTTCCGCCAGGAGAGACACTGGCGCATGCGTAGATGCGCTCGCACTCGTCGGCGCTCCGCCCATGAGAACTACTACTCCCGGCAGGCCCCGCGCTCGCCTCCGGCGCGCCGCCGACTGCTGACGTAGCCCAGTAGCGCGGGGAATTTCGAGCGGTCGCGGAGCGGGAGGCCTGTGGGCGCGGACCGTCAGCGCCTCGGGAGGGACCATGGAGCCCTTGGTGGAGCCTCGGTGGCCTGCGGGCCTGGAGTTCATGAAGGTGCGTGCCTCGGGGTGGCTGGGCGCCTGGGTGTCCGTGGAAGCCGGGGCTCCGGGGGGCGGGGGTGAAGGACCGGGTGCCGCCGCCGGCGGCGCTCGGCCCCGGGCCTCAGTTTCCCCCCTGAGAAGTGACGCGGGACAACCTTGGCCGCCTCCTGGTGAGCTAAGGTGGGATATTTGAGGAAAGCGGGCGTCCCGGGGTTCCGCCTCAGCGGTCGCAGCGTCGCCGGGAAGGCCGGTCAGAAACCGTGACAACGGCCGGGGCGCCGGCCCGCCCCGAGAACCCGCGCTCGCCGGGCCGCGGGACTCGG